ATATATATATATATATATATATATATATATCTGTGTGTCTCATATCTATTCCTTAAGAAAATATTTTTATTATTTTTAAACTGAAATACATCATTGCATATACAATTTTACAGCATTAAAATGTTATGTAAGTAAATATGAAAGTTTAGATGTGAGATATTCAAATATATAAGGATTATGTGCTAAGTATGTACATCCCTAAAATTTTTTTAATCTAAAGTCTAATTGGTGGCCAATTTGAATTTCTCGAATAAATTTAATTTAATTTTTAATATTATTTAATTTAAATTTATTAAAAAATAAAACATTCAAGTTGATATTTCGATTAGAAAATTATGATTTAAAAAAAAATAATTGAAAACAAAAATAAATAATCCCAAAATGCTGAATTTGAAGGATCATCTTACATGAGAACAAACAAAGATTAATGTCATAATTATAATATATTAACAAATCAATAAATATTTAGAGTTTGTTTGAGGTAGCTGCAACTTATTTAATAATATGCAGATTAGCTGATTAAAAATAATCTGCTGATAACTTATTATTTTGGAAAAGCCAAACTGCCGCCAGAAAGCTGTCACTGCACCTATATATGTGCGTCTGAAAACGCTAATTTCGGCTTTTTCAAAACGCATAAGCTGCCTCAAACAGTCTAGATGTGCTTTCAAAATGTCACCGCATCAAATAAGCTGCCACAAATAGACCTTTAATTGCTACATTTATATTTTGAATTATGATTGGTTGTGCAAATTTGTTGAAGTAACTCTTGATAGAGACATAAAGAAATACTTTGATTGTATTGGGCATGGATGATAGCCCACAATTAAATAGAAAAAATGTCGTAAAATTTATTATACAACAACGACAACAACAACAAAGCCTTATACTACGTGGGGTTGGCTACATAAAGTCGTAAAATTTATTATACAAAAAAAAAATTAAAATGCCCTTATCCAAACTTAATAAAATAATCTTCACTGTTTAAATCCAAATACTATAATGAGATGCCCTTTTGTTGGCCCTAAACATACATCAATGTGAGGTAACTAATAAATATGTTGTTGTTAGTATACCGTATGTTAAACAACATAATAAAATTTAGTTTCATGAATATTCATCTTCGAGAAAGTGAAAGTGTCGTATCATGATGCAGACATACCAGACGGCCTCAGAATGACGAATACAATGAATGAAGAGATTAAGGCATAATACGACCTAAATGAGATACGAAAGTCTCTCAAGATGACTGTAATGATTTTTATAATTTTTTGTCGAGCAAATTATTCTAAGATAAATAAATAATTGAAATTTATATATTTGAAATTGTGAAGCATAGGTAAGGAAATAAAAATCAAATAAATTGAGAAACCATATGTGAAAATCATCAGCTGAAATGGTTGACGAGTCAAGTAATTGACTTTGTTCGGTCAAACGAAATGAGTTTAGAGACGCAATTACAACGTAAAAGAAAGAAAATTCATTATTCACATCAAACAATATATTTTATTTGACTCTTAAGAGATCTTTTGCATGAACATTTTTATCTTTTGTCAGCATTACCCCTGTGCTCATACGCTGTGAAAATCTAGCATTATCTATTTATTGACTTTTAGTGCACAGGTCAACCAAGACAATACCATGAACATAACATTTTGTTTTCCGTGTTAAAGACTGGTCGGGGCAGGATGTCTTGACTAATTTTTTAAATCATATCGCAAACCTGCTAAATAAAATAATTAATAATCTAACAATAAAATTTTACATGCATACCTCACAATTATTATATATTTACATATATAACACCTAAAATTTATTTATTTTTTTACGTACATCACCTTACCTATTCAAGAAAATGTGTAGTTCGCTTCTTAAATTTTAGAAAAGTGATATTTTTTCATGTGACGCGAAAGATTTGGGTGGTGTGAATGTAATAATCAAATTTTAAGTGTTAGAAATGTCAATACGTAAGAATTAGATGGTATGTAGGTAAATTTCCCAAAACAAAAATTTAAATAAATTAATAGAGACCTTCAGCGGTCGTGCTTTTTTCCCTGGCCAGGGATAGGGAAAATATTTGCGTACATCGCGTTGCATACCTCGGAGGTTATTCGGAGGGTATAGGAGGGTTACATCCGGGTTATACCCCCTGTAACTTTCCTATAACTTATCTGTACCTACCGCAACTACATAAGTGCAGAACTTATTTCTAGTTTACAGGTAGGTTACAAGTATGTTACAGAGAGGTTACAGAGAGTATAACGAGGATGTAACCCGCCCATACTCTCTGAATAACCTCCCGACCTTACGTACACAAATATTTTCCCACGGATAGACAACAAGAAAAACAATGAGAGATTATAAGATTGTTATTCATTTGAAATGATAAAATTATAAGAAATTTACATCCTTACCACACAATTTTTTTATGGAATCACATATCTAACGCCTAAAGTTTGATATTTACATTTAAACAAATTGGCGCTTTTCTTTTATGTGATGCAAAAGATTTAAGCATTATGGAAGTAAATAATAAAGTTTAGGTGTCTGGCATGTAAATACATAAGATTTGTGTGGTATATATGTAAATGCCCCAAAAATTATTTATTTCGCGCATACGCAAACCATGTCATTGGGAGATTGGTTGAGTTTGATCCATCAGACGTTGGAACACCAACATCACTCAATGTTCACTGTCACCTCATACTTGGAGTTCATATTTCATGAATATCATTGATTGACGCCCACTTTCTTTATGGCCATCACCTTCTTCTATTGCATTCTCAAGCGACACTATAATTGTGTTCTCAAAATAAGGAAAAAAAATATTAAATTTGGTAAATCGGATGTGCAGTGGACGACCTGGATCACACAATGTCGTCCAACGTCATGTGTGGTTCGATTCAGATCATCGTCCATAAGTAATATTTCTCCAAAATAAGAGTCAATTAAAATTCTATTTTTAATAGGTAAAACCCTACATTTTTTTCTCTAGTTTTCTAATTAAAATTATCCTACCTTCACGATATATTGATGCAAATTCAGAGGAAATTATGGAGGAGGATTTGAAAATTCAGACAAATCAGGAAGGGCAATAAATCCTAATTTCAAATTTAAAATTAAAATTAAAGTTTCAAATTATGGAGGAGGAATTGAAAATCGAGACAAATCAGGAAGGACAATAAATCATAATTAAAGTTTCAAATTCAAATTCAAAATTCAAAATTCAAATTTTGAATTTGAATTAAGAAGCTCAATTAAAGACTCTTGTTTTAGAAGTTAATTAGAGTTTTTTTTTTCATATTATGTTTTCCTTTATTTGCTTTCTTAAAAGTAATTTTATAAGTTATTATCTTCCAAGTTGGGATGAGAGGTTTGTAATATGTTTCTATTATTTAAATGGAGTAAGAAAAAAAAATGGGCATTGACTATTGCTACTAATTAATGAGTTCTTTTTGAATTCCGTTGGTGAGTTTCCAACAATGCAGATGGATTCTGTTTTGTCCATCTCTTGAGTCCAACAAGATATTGAACTTAAGGGAAGACATCACATATATAACTCTCTCTCTCTCTCTCTCTATAGATGTGCCTGAGGCCCTCAGAAAGGCAAGAAGTATTCCAAATTTAAATTCAAGAATATCTCAACCCAAATTAAACAAATTGCTTGACAAACTGAGCATCTTAAGAAGATAAACACAATGACACTAAAAGTGATTTAATTTGAGTTCATATGAGCATAGATTGGACACTCGAAGGCTTTTGTGTATCAATTGGATGACCAAACAATCATAAAATTTGGCATTTTTTTTTGGTCCAATCAAGCATCTCGATAAGTGAGATTCAATGAGCCCAAAATCAATCAATTTTGATATCATTAAGTTACTTAAATGTTGATAAAATTATTTTTGATCGAGGGAATCAATTTGAACAGCCTGATAGAGTGTTTTTGGGAGATTAGTGAAATTTATCAGGATGCCTCTCTAAATAACTATAAATAGACCCTCATCATTCATTTAAAAAGAGATAAAGAGATAAGAGAAGAGTGAGATGACTGGAAAATGTTAACTCTTAAAGTCCTTGTGGATGTTATTGGTCACCCGAGAAAGTGACCGGCCACTAGAGTTCGCAGTTGGCCATCAAAGATCATCGTCAACTACTAAAGCTCTTCGCCAACCACCATAGTTTGCCACCGAACAAC